AATTTGCATATTTTACAGTTTTAGTTATTTTGATTATTAATAAATAAAATGATAAAAAATAATTTAAAAATTTTTTTTTTGCCGAATTATCTTTGGATAAACGTTTTTTATAGTTGCATTTCAGAAATTTTTCAATTCACTTTAAAAGTTCTCGAGATATGGCGATATATGCAGAAAGTAAAAATTAAGATTAAGGAGTATGAACCGGCGACCGCTCTCCGGACCGTACTCTTGAAACTTAATTTTCCAGATTGCCGCTCCCCTCCCCGCCACCAACACCTTTTGAGAATTAAATTTAGGAATCCGTCGAAAGTACGTGTTTGTATCTGTTTTGTTAATCAAAATATCATTAGCTCAAATTAATTTCCATAGTTCAGAAAAGGCTTTCGAACCATTAAGATTGATTCTAAGTATGTATCATATTTTTTAAAGTGATGATTAATTCTATCAGCCAATGATTGTGGTAACTTGATTATGTTAATAGCGAAAAATAAATAATTAACATTTCTTAATTTAAGCGTGGACAAAGGTTGCTTTTGTTTTAGGAAATCTCTTCTTTTTTTACTTTAACGAGCGACTCATTGGTAATGGGCAGATTATCTAGGTAGTTAACATAATATCGCGGTTGTTAGGAAATTGAACAATTTTATTGACACTTTAAGTTATCAAAAAGTACTTTAAGTTATTGAAAAATTTTATTAATATTTTATCATGGATCACCCGAGTTTAATAATGTGTAGATTAACTGATTTGAGCACTTCAGTGCTAAAATACATATATTTTTCGCGATTATGGTAAAGAAAATTAATTTTAATAAAAAGTAAAACTTCTGCCCCGGGTGAGGATCGAACTCACGACCTTCAGATAACTCATTATAGAGTTGATTATGAGACTGACGCGCTGCCTACTGCGCTACCGAGGCACAGGAGAGAGTGAAGAAATATAATATTTAACTTTAACTATCCTTTCATTATTTTAATATTAAATCTTCAAAATGTATTATTGCACGAAATAACTGCTACTAAAAACTA